AGAAGGTTTGGGGCATGGACGGGAGGGGTAAGGAACTGGGTTAACGTGTAAATGAAGCTTGTTTCTAGTTCCAAATAAGTCTCATTGCAATTTTAAAAATAACATAATAAAGTAAAATAAAAGGAAAGCAGAATTCTGAGAATATAGTCTAGATTTACAAATTTCAAAAGAAACTTGTTCCTGAAGGTTATGTCTTCCTGGCTTCCCACAATTTATCCATAAAATAAAATAGCAAATCAAATACAACTCAAAGACCAAATTGCTAACCACTGTTTAGACCATTGTATCCTTATTGCACTCGAACTATGGCATGGCTCTCTCTGTAACTCCACTTTAAATTCTATTTGATGAAATTATTGTAAATGGCATCAAAGTCTCAACTGCCTTGGCAATTCTTCTGTCTTCCCTGCACATATATTGCAGTAAGAAGAGGATAGAGGAAATACCTGCATACTGTTTAATATATGCATATTTTAAGGTACCAGGCAAACCATTCATTAAGAAAAGACAATGGTTAATAAAATAGTGTGTTATGGACTATGATAGTGGTTTTGAGTAAGTACAAGTAGTAGAGAGAAAATAATGGTCACTGGATTGTTTCCTTTATCAAGTTTTATTTATCTCATTCTAATACTCAGAGCCAATATATTTTACTCTTTGAAATTGTTTTGATCTGCTTTTTCATGTCACCAAATGAGAAGAGCCGCTTTACTGAGAAAAGGGGTCTTAAATGGACTTTTGAATAAGTGGTGTTTGTTATGATATTACAGAAAACGAATTCCCAATTTAAGAAGCAGATATATTATGAGTTCTAAGTGAATAAATTGAAACCTTGTGTATTCAGTAAAACTCAGCACAGCATCCTATTCTGCCCATAAACTTTGCAGTTGACTCAGAGATACCTCTGTACCACAGACAATTTCTCTCCTTCAATGCAGTATCAAATAAATTATAATCATGCCTAAAATCTCTTGATTGAACATGTCATATTCACCATGTTTATATGCTTCAAAATTCACATGGCATTTTCCAACTTTCTTTTCAATATATTAAGGCAACTATAGATCATGGACAAGCATGTCATATGAAATTAAACATCAACACTGAGCTTCACCTTCCAGGTAATTGAGGTGTTGTTGAGGTTATAGGCCTGAGAAATGAAGATAATCACTGCTTAATGTGTGAAACTATAAGAAACAGATATTTTAGACTTAATGTACACATAAAATATATAAAATATTATTTTCCAAAATTTTTATTTTGAGGTTTTAATCATAAAACTTTTAAAAGAGATGGGAAGTCTAGAATCTTATGTGTCAACCAGCATATAAATAAATTGTATTAAATACAATTTAATACAATTTGTGTGTGCAAAAGTACATAGCAGAGTATGGATTATTCCTTTATACTGTATGAATATATGTCACTGTGATAGGTTTAATAAAGAAGCTAACTGGCTTAGATTTAGACAGGTTATGTTAGGTGGGAGATCCAATGGTGTGGTTGTTGGGAAGAAGATTGAATTCTTGGAGTCATAAGGAGAATACTGAGGAGTTGAACTTGCTTTACAGACAAAAGGTTTCTGCTTGCCAATGAATAAGCAGGGATAACTATTTTCAGAAGGCCTACAAAATATTTAGTTTTGGTTATCTGCATCTTCTTCCATCACTTTCTGGAACAGTTGCTAGCTTTTTGGGTGTTGAGTATTGTAGGCTGGGCGTCAGCTGTTTTATGACTTGTATCTACCTATGAAAGTCTAGGTACCATATCTGGCTTCCTGAGTCTGGGTTACCTCACTCTGTATGATGTTTTCTATATCTTGGGTACAATCAAAGTGAGGGAATGGAGATGATATGGACAAAGGACACAATTCAGTAGTGGGTAACCCCTCATATTCAGCTGACCAGTGAAACTTAAGACATCACACTCTCTGGTCTGAAATCTGGGAGCATGCATAGATGAACCAGACTTCATGAATATAGGAGATATTGTTGCAGCTAGGGAACTATATGAGGCTATTGGCAATGGTTTAAGGTATAACAGTAATGTACAATATAACTTAGTGTACCCCATTCTATATGAAGAGAAAACTTGCTCAGTCTAGACCAGGAGGGGAGCCATGTTCTTGCACCTACTTGATGATCGGAAAGAATTGTAGACTTCCTAGGGGAGGCCTTATGCTCTCTAAGTGGAGATGGAAGTCTGTGGGTAAATGGGGGCAGTAGGAGGAGGGGATGGTGGGGAATTGGGCCTAGAATGGAAAACATGAATTAATAATTTAAAAAGGAGCATCACATAAAAAAGAGAAACGAAAGCAAAGCGGCACTCTGAGAAGTTATCAGTATAATATTAAGAATGAGCATGATTACAAGAGTTTGCCATAGCTGTGGTTATAAGCATGGATCCCTGATGCCTCAGTTATGAAGTTCACACTCATAGAACACCACCATGGTGAACCACATGCATTAAGCTGAGCTGCATACTACTACAATTGAGAGAACAGTTGAAAATTTTTCTCTTGCAATGAAAAATAGGTGAAAAAAGAAGTTAAAAATAGAAGAAGTTCCAGACAGAAAATTATAACAGTGAGGAGTCAGTGTGCTTAAAAATATACACATACCTGTGTCTCTGCTTTTTTTTTTTAACCCACAACTATATCCAAAAAAGGAATGCTGTTTAATCTGTTGTACATAAGACTTCAGAACACATTTGTATAAATGTGTTCTATCATGGTTTATCTACAAATAAGTTCATTTTGTCAATTCTATTCACTATTATGATACAGTGGATATACTGTGGATATACTGTAAATTACTCAGTAGTCAATCAACTTACAAACATTCTGCTTAAAGTGGCAAAACTGCATTTAAGAATTCTACAAAAAAATCAAGGCAAATTTGAGGCTTTTAGTGGCTTCTTCAAATGTAATTATTTTTTTTTGCAATGGGGTCATGTATCATTGACAGGAAGAAACACTTGCAAAATAATAGCCTAAATTCCCCTGCATTGGTAGAATGATAGTGGACAAAAAACAGAACAATCATCTCTATCTTCCCTGAAGCCATATTATTTTCAAATTTATCCTGCATATTTATCCTTACAGCTACAGGGAAGTTTAATTGTAACTGTCTGAAAAATAAACACCATTTTGCATCATAGTTACACACTTTCCCAATTCGTGAAATGGCCAATAACCTGCACTGTATCCTTAAAGGACAACTGATTAATCTGCACAATCCACTTTCATTTTTAGACTCAGAAAATATTTCCTGCAATGGTCATATAACGGTTGTTATCAAAAGGAAAAGGTCATCTGTCATGAAGACAGTATCTTCTAAGAAGGATAGGGAATTAAATACAGAAAGTTTTGGAATTTTGAAACATGATACGAAGAAAATATAAGCAAAGAAACAACCAAAAATGGTTAGTACAATGACATCACAAATTGTAATGCAAAATTAGATTGGAACACCTCTCAATGACCACAATTAGCAGAAAATTCATGGGCATATATCGAAAGTAAAATAGAAAAGATGTGTTTCTACTGGAGCATAAATGCTTTAGTCTTTTTAATTCCAAAATGTCAATGTTAAATCTGTTATAAATAATGACAATCTGTATAGAATCTGTATTAGTTATTTGTATATTTACATAATGATAATAAAATCATTGGATTTTTAGTCATTTTTAATTTAACATTTATTGTTCAGATATTGTACTGAAGGAGGAAACAAAAAGAAGCATGAAGTGACGCAAATACAATTAGCATGCAAGAAATTCTTTGATATGCCCACAAAATGTAAACAAGCATATACATACGTACATGTAACTTATAGGAGAAAACTCAACATATACACTTATATGGTTTAATATAATTGTTATAAAGTACTTGAAATGAATCATAGTATGGCTATTGAGAAAACTAGATTCCTTATACTGTGAAGGGATAAGAGAGTGTTCTAACTCAGATGTCAGTAATATTTTATTTGGTTTTGTTCTTGGCCAAAGGGATGCATATAGGGACACACTTGATATGCAGAGAAGAAATGAAAAAAATATGAAGAAGTTAATTAATGAGAGAAAGAACCTATTGTTGATGTTGCTTATGTCATCATAGCAAAGAAATCCATTTGCTGCCATTTAGAAGCTTCAGGTGCACAATGGAAAGTTAACAAGCATGTTAGTTGCTTAAAAGTTACCAAGAACATAATTGCACTCTCTCATGATCTTTAACTATATATTTGTCATTGTGTCCAAAAATTGAGAAAATATCAACAATTATGAGGTTTGTGATCATGACTATGAGATGTAAGGAAAACCAAAAGCTGTTTTAATAGCCAGGTCCTGGGGCTAGAATGCTGATAGATATTCAAAAGGAATTTCTTTCATTCTGCAAGAGGCATACAGAAGTAAACTGAGTCCTAATGAAATATTGATATGAACACAAATAGTTTATTCAGGCAAAAGTTGATATAGAACACAGCAATTTATAAATTTCATGAATAAATTTTCAATGCCATAAGTGTTACAACAAGGTTTCCACCAGAGGGGAGTAAAGAGAAGCCTTTCCTATTCATTGCGATTTACTAAAGATTCAAGAATTATTATTTTTGCACATACTGCAGTACTTTCGGTCTAATAGTGGGAAGTCAAATTTTTCAAGATAGCCCGTATTTCAAGGCACAGACATCTCCTTGATTCACGGAGAAAGAATCAATGAATCAGAGCTATAATACAAGGAATCAAACACAAACAAAAATTGCTAATATCCATGGGCTCTATATTCTGTATTTGTCAGGAACAGTTTCCTTTGCCTGTGTCAATTTACCCTTGGGTTTTTGTAGTATCCCAGAGCTAATAAGAACTGGAATGCAGATGTGTGTCTGGTAAGAGACTGTAATTCTGACAACTTATATGCTCCCCTTGCCTCGCATTGTAGGTCTGTGTGCATTCAAACGTCATTTGGAGCCTGAACCAATAAGAAGAGTCCTATCAATCCCACCAATGGAAAGCAAATCCTTAGGAAAGCTTTGAGATCTCCTTCTGAGCTGCTGACTCATTTCTCCCACCCAGCTTAACATGTCCAGCAGCAGAAACCACAGAAAACAGTGGATGAGAATGGAAATACAATTAATCCTAAGCACTGAATAAAATAAACAAAAGAGAAAAGCTTCCTTGGGTAAGTAGGGATCCAGTTCTTTGTGACTATATATTGGCTATCTAATGAAATTCCCTGCCTCTCTGATTTCTGATTGCTGAATATGCTTCATGGCTGCCAATTAGAGCTGGCTTGTATTGTTTTCTGATGTCTCTTATTTGAAGATGCTGACATTTGAAATACAAAAAGCCCTAGATGGCTAAGTAAGAATTCTTCCCTACATAATCATTTTATATTGTATCTTACAGTGACCCATATGATTAACACAAGAAACGTTTCTGTCAGATACTGATTCAAAAGGAAATCTCCGTTGCACATATTGCAGGATTCAAAATTTCAATGGAATAGCCGATATGAAAGAACCAACAGAGGCTTCTGAGCTAAGAGTACATTACTTGCACTACAAATAGTGAGAGTGACTTAGCAGGGCAGCATGGGACTTCCCACCAAACTCTGCCTATCCTAGGTTTATATTGTCTCTGTCTCGTGCAGGTGTCTGGGAGAGGTTCCCTACTCTGGAGTCTATTGCAGTCAGGGTTTGACTAATACCAGCTAAGAGCTGGATATTAGCCAGGACCCTGACTGGAAAAAATCCTCCTGTGCAGACATTTTTATTACATCAGATTGCCTCCCAGGGAGGAGGGAATACATTTAGAGATGCATCAGGAACCAATGAGGAGAGAGATCTCAAACCCTGGAATGGAAACAAATGACTGCAGTTCTTGGAGATCTGCGTCAGAGATGCTGATTCATCTATCTCTGCCCCCTCCCTGCTTTTTGTCAAAGAGGCAGGGATATTGAATTTCAAAGAGTGAATTAAATATAGTTCTCTTTCATATTGATCAAATTCTGATTACTGGTTTGCGGCACTTTCTTCAAGCTGCTTTTGTCGTAGTTTTTCCCTTTGAGTGGAATATGCCATTTTAGAATACCTAGTTTTTATTTTTGAGCCATAATTAACATATCATCTCAGCAATTCTTGATATTTTATGGGGATGGCAGAGAGACAGAAATTCCATGATTGGAATCTCCAAAAAAAGAAAATGGGGAATGAGGGGCCCAGTTCCCCATTTTGGCAGACATGACAGTCTAACACATGCTTTCCTGACCTTGCTTTGTGAATTAGGGGGTCAAATGCCTGCCTATTTCTGCTGCCATGAGAGTAACCATGTTTGCCTGACCTTGCCTTGATCACTAGGAGGACAGATGCCTGCCTCGTGGTAAGGAACCAATCAGCAGTTAGATGGTGGTAATATGCTTTATGGATCTTGGTGTTCTTTATGGAAAAGTGCACTGCAATGACATGTTGAGCTAGCAATCATCCTGGGAGGGCCTATGGACCATAACAACCAGTTAAACAATCAACACAGGGCAAAGCCTCCAAGCCTGGAGCGACACCAATCCTGAGCCTGTGCGTACCCCTAGACACCCCTTTACACTGTATTATAAGATCTCTATGTCGAGGCTTCGCAGCGTCTTTCCTAGCCATCTGTCATGATGGATGGATGAAACGCCTGAGCTAACATGGGGTTAGCTCCTTAGACAACTCCAATAAAGCCTTGTGCTGTTTGCATCAAGGTTTTTACTCTGCTTTGTGATTGTCGTCTTTGCAGTCCTAGAATGAGATCCTGGGGTCCTGAGCCTCCCGGGGTCTTTCAGTGAGCACATTAGCTATGGAAAAAGAAAATTGTTCTGGTCTTTGTTTTTACATCAGGCCAACTTTGGCCAAAGCCTCCCTGTACATGGAAGATACCAAAACCATGGTCAGTACTACATTGTATTCAATGTAGTTGAGGGCTACATTGTAGTTGAGCTCAATGTAAGGACTGCTTCCCAGGACTGGGTACACTCCAGTAGCTCAGTCTACTAACAATAAATCCAATTCAGTGTAGTGAATTTATTTTCTGATATTTTTCATTTGAGTTAGAAAGATTATTTTACATGCCAATCCCAGTTCCCACTCACTCCCCTCCTCTCCTGCCCCCCCAAACAACACCCTATCTATTCTGCTCCCAAGGAAGGGTGAGTCCTTCCATAGGGGGTCTCCAGAGTCTCTCATATCATTTGGGAAAGGGCCTAGGCCCATCCCTTTGTTTCTTGGCTCAGAGAGTATCATTCTATGTGGGTTGGACTACCAAATTACATACCTATGATCAGGATAAGTACTGATTCACTACAAGGGGGCCCATTGATATCCTAGGACGAAACCCACATTCAGCTGAACTGGATCAGTCCCATGCTGGTTTCCCAGCTATCAGTCTGGGGACCAAGAGCTCTCCAATATTCAGGGCAGCAGTTTCTCTGGGTTTCACCAGCCTTTTCTGGACCCCTTTCCCCATCAATCCTCCTTCTCTCCAACTGGATTACAGTTTAGTTCAAGGGTTAGCTGTGGGTATCTGCTTTTACTACTACCAGCTGCTGGATGAAGGCTATAGGATCAGTATGCCTCACTTTGAAAATTAGTATTCATGGACATATTGTAGATTTAATATTATCCAAATGAAGTCTAGATATATCCATAGTATGTCTTCCAGTGCAGCAGAGCCCTCTGCACCAGATTTAGGTGGTTTGAGAATTTCAAGTACTACATGAAATGAAAGCATATCAGACAGGACAACATGGAGCCTGGTGACCTCTGAGAAGTTCCAGCTGTCGTTGTGATCACAGGTTAAAGACCCTGCATCAGAAATCCCAGAAACAGCACCAGCCGAGTCTGGCTCATTCTCTGTTTGGGACACCAAATGATATCACACCTGAGATGCTTCTCACAAAGGGTATACACAGCTCTGTGACTAGTGGAATGTTCAGTATGATTCTTTCTGAGATCTTGGTTGGGCCAAGACATACATGGGTTGCCATAGGGCCTATCCCAAAGCAAATGAGAGATTCTTAAGACCCCTATGGAAGGCCTCACCCTACCTTGGGAACAGAAATGATATGTGATAGATAGGGTGTTAGTTGGGTGGGGGTTGTAAGGGGAGGAGTGGCGGTGAAGGGAATTGGTATTGACATGTAAAACAATCTTATTCCTAATCAAAAGAAAAGAAAAGAAAAGAAATTCATGGTGTCTCAGATAGTTAAATAATTATTCTCACTAACATAACCATTTACACTCTATTCTTCCAAGGAACATTTGATCAGCACAAGCATGAGTTTTCCAAGTATAGAGATAAAAAATAAATCTTCCTTGTACACAATGTAGGGTGCAAGACTCAGCCAGTAATCAAGATATTAAGGCTGAAAATTTCGATTCATAGACAGGAGCTCATTTTCTACCAAGCAAACAGGAGCAGTTACTCATGGCATGACTGTGGGAATTCTCACCAGTTAAATCAAGGACAAGCATGTCATATGATATTCAACATCAACTCTGATGTTTTGCATTACAACTTGCTGGTGTTGCTGGTGTTGTTGAGGTTATAGGCCTGAGAAATTACGATAATCACTGCTTAATGTTTGAAATATGTAAGAAACAAACACAGATATTTTTGACTTAATGTACACATAAAATATATAAAATATTATTCCCAAATATTTTCATTATGAAGTTTTAA